CGGGGGCGAGCCCGGCCTCCGCTCGGGCCGCAGGCAAAAAAGAAAGCAGCCTGCCTCTTCAGCTGAGTCGCCGGGAACACTTCCAAGCCCCATCTTCACGGAGAATCCGGCTCCAAAGCCGTTGTGTTGCCGTACGGGTGGAAGAGCATCTCCCAAAGGCTGCCTTAGCGACAGCTGCTGGAGGGTAAGTGGGGTTCCACGCCGCACCGCTGCAGGTTTCAGGCACTGGCGCTGGCCACCGACGGCACCGCTCCCACCAGCCACAGCCAGGCTCATCCTTTGCCTTCTCGGCACGTTTGTACAACCGGCATCCAAACTGAAGCCTCCCAAATGCTGTAGACCCATGCCTGTTGAAACGAACAGGCAAGCAGATGATGCTGAAGACTCTCGTGTTATGAATAATACGTAATAAAAAAATAATTTCTTGACTAAGTGAAAATTGGGTGCCACTTTACCCTAGTGGAATTTAATAACACCCCCCCAAACTTTTCACGGGAAAAATGTAAGAGTGAAACTTCAGAAAGCTTTCTGCAATACAGTGATGAACACACGGCCAGCAGCTCAAAGGTTTGACTCCAAATGAGTGAGATCAAAATTAAGATTTCATTAGAAAGCGGATCTTAGTCAGGACCCAGGGAAAGGATCCAAGCAAAGCAGTTAAAAAAAGAAATAATCTAACAATAGTGGGATGTAAAAAAGACAGAGGAATAAATTCTAGAAGTTTTCTATTTCTCTCTAAAGACCAATTACCGTTAGTTTGCAGAATTACATTAATTATCTTCTCATCTGTAATGATGCAGGTCTTTTTAAAATCACCGGTAACCAAATCCCAAATGTATTGGCTTCTGCAGTACACCAGGTCACAAACTTAGCCCAAACACCCTGAGTCCTCTGTGATTTTTGTAATGTAGCAAATGGCAGCTGAGTATTCCCTTTCACTTCAGATGAGCCACAGTAAGTACCAGAACTGTTTGAGGATGTGCCAATCAATCGCACGTATGCACCAGAAAGGGAATGTCATTAAAGGATGGACATGAATTTCTTCTGTTTTGTCACCCCTGTGTATCTGGAGTGGTTTTGAACCAGTGGTACTTTTTTCATCCAGATGCCCATAGATGTTCCTCCATCCGGTTCATTAAGAAAAACAAGAATGTGCAAGAATTGCTATTTCATCATTAACAATGGTTAATATCAAATATCTCAAAACACGCAGGATATCTGCAATAGCCACATATGGGAAAACCTGATTCAGGAATGTCTTATCTTAATTCCTACTTGACATTTGTTTATTTCTGAATGCATTAGGCTTTATTCTTTCCAAATCAATTTACAATAAATGCCTTTAACCAGAAGATGCATGTTTTAGAACAAAGTTACTGAATTGCTCCCTCTTAGTCAATAATTAAATTAATATCCTTTTCTAAGAGGCACACAGTCCAAAACTTTCACTTAACAGACAAGCAAATTAAACATGGTTTACCTCTCAGTTCAATTCCTAGTTCGTCTTTGGCAGGAACTTATACATCTTCCTTACATCACTTGTTATCATGTTTCCTTTTACTCAGTCCATCCTAAGGAAAATAAACATAGTACCTGCTTTTCAAGGAGACTGGTTAGAAACTACACACAGGGGGTAACTTTTTCTTGGAAAGCCTGTCAACCACTTCACAGATCACAACACTGTTGAGTTTGCCAGCCCGGTATTTAGCTTCATCTGAAGTGCAGAGCACCTCAAGCTCCATCAGTAGTTTTACATCAAAATTGAATATTACAAGTATCACCATGTTCCAGTGTTTAAAGGGTGGCTACAAAGAAGATGGCGACTCCCTTTTTACAAGGAGTCACATGGAAAAGATGAGGGGTAATGTAAAATTTACTCCTGGGGAGATTCTAACTGGACACAAGGGGAAAATTTTTCACAATAAGAACAATCAGCCATTGGAATAACCTCCCCAGAGAAGTGGTGGATTCCCCAACATTGGACACTTCTAAGACTCAGCTGGACAGGGTGCTAGACTGTGCTTTTGCCAAGAAAGGTTGGACCAGGTGATCCTTGAGGTCCCTTCCAACCTGATATTCTATGATTCTATGAAGTGTCCTCATGTATTGGG